GATATGCTGCTGAGTCGTTTGAATACTTCAACGTGGATGGGAGACAGAGACACCTCGCGTAGCAAAGAAGAAAAAGAGTTCGCTCGCATGAAATTCTACACGGCTAGGTGTCGCTCGCTAACGTTCATAAGACGGGACGGTGCAGCCCACAACATGCTGGTGTGTGTATAGTATAGTGATGATCACTCCCAGATTTCTTGGTCTTTGCACAGCCCTATTGGCCAACACATTACCTGAAACAACAAATAAGGCAACTTTTTCAGTCATCTCAAGAAAGATCTGAATCTCAAATTTCATAGCAGAGGATTCTTGAAAATAATTCATGAGAGAGCCACAATATTAACCTCTGCCCCAAGGATATCATCTGATCCTCCCACACCAGCAACTTGAAGACTCTGTAGGTGAATAAATAATTTATTAAATCTTCAGAATATGAGCAGGATCCTCAATGGAAATTTCACTCTGTGTCTACTATATTCAACTAACTGCAAAACCCACACCTTCTGTACATATTCCAGCAGTTCTCAAACTCATCAGAAAATTGAAGAACAATATAAGATCCTTTGGCGGGTTCTGCACAGGAAAAGTTTCAAACAGTTTAACTTTAAGATATGGTTTCAGGAAATGCAGCAGTCACATCTCTCATAAATTTAATGTCAAGGGACCAGCAAAAAAGTTTGTTGTGAGGTTTTGAGTTAAGAAAAGAAGCATTTTTGTTGAGAGAAAAATGTATAAGAATTGCATGAAATTGTAAACAATGAAATTCTGGGCATTAAGTTGCTTCTTAAATGAGTTGACAGGATGCTTAACTTGGGGGCAAGGGTTCATTTGCCCTATTATAGTTCCTCACTTCCTTTCAAGACAAATTGCTAATATAATACTTAGTTTTTTTGTTTTTCTCTTTCCTGTGTATTATGAAGATAATAACAGCCAAAATGCCTCAGAAAATTTGAGTAATGGAGGTTTTGTGAATAAAAGTCTTCACAGTAGAGAGGTTTTAGAAGCATCATTTCATTTGCAAGGGAATTCAGACAGAGACATTGAAAACATTTGACTTACAAAGAAGGTTCAAGTTATTGAGGTTCAACTGCATCATCATCACAAAGGTGTGATCATCATCCCCCCCCCCCCCAAATAAATTGTTGTCACAATGTAGTGTCTCATGCATGATATATATGTCACATATCTCCATTACTTATTGTTTTGAACTCTCCTCAGGTAAACTATATTTTCCTGTCATGAGGAATGAATTATGCAGTAACATGGGTCTGATCCTCCAAAAGTCCACATTTAAATGTTGCTGAACAACTGAAAAAGTTTCAAAAGTTGGAAATGAAACCTATAATTTTGGTTTTTCTATATGCATTCCCCTTGGTGTTTTTCCTCCAGTTATTCCACATCAGTCAGTCATTATTTCAAGTTACAGACATGAATGCCAAAATAAACTGGCTGAGGTTCAATAAGATTTCTCTGATTTCATTATCACAGGATGACTGTGCATTGCATTATATTTCCACAGCAGAGAGATAAAATGCTTCCAGCGTTCACATGATGTTGTGTGAGTGACAGAGATAAGGGATATCAAGCAATAAACAGCTGACTCACACAAGGCTCCCTGCCTCAAAAGTATAGGATTATATATGGTTTTCACAACACCCTATACACCACCAGTACTCTATTGTGAGTGAAGGCACCAATTCTTCCCTGTTACACAATACATCATGAGTGACCTGTTATTACCATATGAGCCAGTTGGCAAGATTCCCACTGAAGAGTTGATGAAAAGGGCTCTTAGTGATTTGAAAGAGGATCCCAAGTGTAGAAAAAATGACATTGCAGCCATCCAACAGTGGCTCAAGAAAGAACCACACTTGAAAAATGCCCCAGTTGGTAAGTCTTTTCTTTTAGATGAAGGGTTGGGTGAATTGAACAAGACAATGTGTGATACAGTAAAATCTCATTACAACAAATACTTTCTGTACTGTTACAAGAAATTTTTCAGTTCAACAAACTTGTCTTGAGTCCCAATAATACAGAAAACCTGTACAATCTCATTATAAAAACTTCCCAATACATGGCAATAAGAAGCTTTTTTGAGGAATGTTCAATGGATTCTCCTGTTACAAATTTTCTGACTAAGGCAGGCACAGTCAGAAATTTCTGATCCCAAATGTGACCTATGAATATAGTTCTTATAGAATGGATGGAAGCTGTGATCAATGACAAAAAAAGCTTCCAGGATGTTCCACACATCATTTTCCTAGAAGGAAGAGTTTGATGCAACTGATAGAAGCTAATTAACTTTTTCAGAACATTACTGAGTAAAAACAATAAAAACATATTAGAATACAGAAACTCATATGGTGGTCTGATGTGAAAATCTTTTATAGTAATTAATTTTGAAAATATTGTTAGATAAAAAATTAATGAATGCAACAAACTTTTTCTGAATTCCTCAAAAGTTTATTGTTTTACTGAGATTTTACTGTATAAGGTGCCTTCATATTAACTGGCTTTGGTATAATACCTGTTTCCTGTGTACATGCAGATGATGAAGACATGATACTTCTTTTCCTACGTGGATGCAAGTTCAGTCTTGAGAAAACTAAAAAGAAGTTGGACAATTATTTCACCATGAGAGGTGCTTTGCCAGAGTTTTTCCGCAACACAGACCCAAAGCAGCCAATACTGCAAGAAATTCTCAAGCTGGGGTACAGCATTTATCCATAGTTATATCCCATTCTTCTTGATCACAGTGTATTTCTGGCTTTTAAATCTTTTGCCAATTCATAATTTCAGGATTTATTTGCCACTTCCCAATGTGTATGATCACTTGGGGAGGCAGGTTCTCATCATGAGGTTTGGGAATTATGACCCTGGGAAATACTCTCCAGAAGATCTCACCAAAATTTCATACATGATTTTTGAATCTGCATTTGGCCATGTAAGTACTGCTGGGATTCAGAGTCCTTCAAGTGTTTGAGACATTTGCAAAATACATGTGAACAAAATTGTCCCTGCATCTGTAAGTTGAGTGATTGTCTTGATGTGAATGAGTAGCCATGATATTAAAATACTGTATTTACTCAAGTATCATGGTACACCTTTCCTCTCAAATGTGAAGGAGAAATGGGGGTGCAAGTCATAACCAGGTGCAGCAATAAATTCTCAAGAAGTATTATACATTTATGTGAACATTAAACTTGGTTTTAATGATGAGGAATTTTGTACCAAGTTCAACAGATATTATTTCTAATGGAAAACAATTGGAAGTTAATTGAATTCATGTTCAATTCATGTCTGAATTCAGATTTGCATGTTCTTATTTTTGAAATTTTATAGCTTTAGAGTCCCTAAAATTTGGGTGCTATAGTCTTAAATCTTACCTTAGCATTCTATGAAAAAATTTGACTGAAAAATCCTGTTGTGAATCTTATTTGAGGGTGTGCTTGTTTTTGAGTGAATACAGTATAGATAAAGTCAAACCTCTTCAAGTTAAACTTCACAGGACCAGCCAACAAAATTAGGCTTCAGTAATGGAAACAAGTATTTTTTCATTAAATAAAAAAAGAATTATAGGATGTAAAAAATGGTGACACATTTCTGGCCTTAAACTGCTGGATAAACAGGATGCTGAACTTGGAGGCAAGTGTTCCATTGATCAACTGGTCTCTTAATTCTTCTCAGAAAGTATAAAATTAAAATTTTATTCTTTTTCTCTTTCCTGGGTACTGAAAAATAACCCAAATACGTACCTCCAACAAACTTGTGAGTTATGAAGGTTTCAGGGGGGTGGGGGATCAAGTCAGGGATATGGATTCTTCCTAAGGGGATTTAGACAGGGATCTAAACAAAATTGACCCAGAGGCACAATATTAGACTTTGTTTGGATTGACTTGGCTACATAAAGCTACAATGTGATGTACTGTACAGTACTGTAATTTCCTTTTGATCTCATCACACCACCAGGATGACCAAGGTCAAATCATGGGCTTTGCAGCAGTTGCAGACATGAGAGGTGCCACCCTGGCACACATGGTGTCATTCTCCCCAACAGTGATGAAGAAATCCATGACATTCTTCCAGGTGCTCCATATATACATACATGTGCTCAAAAAATCCTTTCTTTAGCATGCATGAGTATATTACATGTATTTTACCCAGGATGCATCCCCAGCAAGACCAAAATCCTTCATCTACATACATGTTCCCTCAGGATTTGAAACTATGTTCAACCTCTTCAAAGGTTTCATGAGCCAGAAATTGCAGAGCAGGGTGAGATCAAACAATTTTGTATACATTACTGTACTTCCTTGTTTGTGTTCTTGATTTGCTTCTGTAACCAAAGATACAAGCAGTCCAAGAAATGTTCTCCAGCAGGTAGAACTTTATATGGCATATGCAATATGATTGAGCTGAAAAACAATTATTTTCCAGAAAAACATTCTTTGGCATAAGAAAAAAAATCAGTCTTCCTTGACATAATTTGAAGGAGAAGCTGGGGTGAAAAAAAACTGCAAGATGGGCGCCTCATTGTTTATGTGAAAAGTAGAAAATTACCAGGAAGATGTTTGCAAAAAATGTGTCAAACAGCGGGTTGCATTTTTTAATGAGCAAGGGCATGTATTTTTTTCTGAACATAATCATTTCAGCTCAATCATACTGTATAGGCCATATCAATCTATATCCCAAGAACTTTTGTTAGATCCATCATAAATTCCTCTGCTTATTCTTTTCAGTTGAATGTGCTTGGGAACAATGTGGAAGCCCTTTATGATCAAGTCCCAAAGGACAGACTTCCTCCAGACCTGGGTGGCACTTTGCCCATGACTTATCAACAACTGACTGGTATGTTAAATGTACAATATACTGACTATAGACAGTGTTCCCCAACCTTTTTGGGCCCACAGACTGGCATATTTACATGATTTTTTTTTGCAGACCAAAAAATTTACAAAATATTTTCTGCAGACTAGCAAAGTTCCATAAATTTTTTCCAACTCAAAAATGTTTTGCTTTCAAGACTTCATGGCAGGTATTTAAAAAGTTTCTGCTTTTTGCACAAATCAAGGCAAGAACCAATGCAGCAGCTACAGTGAAATGTCTTCAACAAATTAGAAAGGTGGGCTTGAGGAAAGATTCATCAGAATGAAAAATTGAAATAATTTATTCCAGCAGGCGCAAATTTATCTGAAGCATCACTAGCCCTTCTGCGGCTAAGTCAGGCTTTTTTCGCAGATTTTTGTGGCACTCCAGAGTGGAATTAAAAAAAACCCCCAACACTGTGTGCAGGGCAAAGTCTGGAAAAATCCTGGCATTTTTTAAATTTTCCACAGAAAAATTTCACCTGAAAATGAAAAAAATGAAAGCTTCAAGGCTCCATTTTTCCCCCTGGCCTTGTGTTGTTTCCCCATTCAAAGATTAAATTTAAGCTTGAAAGCCAGGAGCCCAGGTTGGAGGTCAATACAGAAAAAGTCCAACTCAGGACGTCTCCTAGCATTTCATTATCCCAGAAAAAAATCCAACTTCACCCTCCCCCACCTGGCAGGGGTTGCATAACCTTGTGCAAAAATATAATGCACATCCATCAGGAAAAAGTCCAACTTTGCCCTGGGATGGAAAGGAGGCTGCTGCTGTCCAAGGGCCAGGAGAGAAGCCAACTTGTATTTTTCATCAGATAATTTCAACTGCCATTGTATTTCCAGAATTTCAGATAAACATAAACAGACTTCATTGCAACTTTTGATTAAATTTATCATACTGAAGAAAATTTCCTGTGAGCCTGCTAAAAAAAAAACTTGAGAGGACCAGCACCAGTCCATGGACCACGGGTTTGGTAACACTGGACATCAGTATTGCCCACTTTTAAGTAAAGTGTTTCTCCATTTTGCTTTACTCTTTGTGTATAGATTACTGGTATGAACGGGTCATGTCCAAGCGGGACCTGATCATAGCAAGAGAAAAGTATGTGAGTGAGGAGAAACTTCGTCGAGGAAGGCCAAGGACTCAGGAAGATATGTTTGGCATTGAAGGTTCTTTCCGCAAGTTGAACATTGATTAGTCTACTCCATGATGGACAATATATGGGAATAAGTTTCAGACATGGATTGTCAGACATTCAATTCCATCTCTAGAAACTTTTGATGTTGTAGAAATCTTGATTGCATTTTCATGGAATGTCAGGAAGAGGTTCATCTTGAAGAAATACAACTTCTTTCACTGGCATACATAAACCTTGCCCAGATTTTTTTTACTACTGTACAATAATTAATTGAATAACACCCACACTTGTGTTTTGTGAAAAATCAAGGCATGAAAGTGGGGAGCAGGTGGCATGTGTGGGTATACATTTTCTGGAGCAAAAAATTTATGACATTCAGTGGTGCAAACCAAAAGTGATTACTTTGCAGGTGCAAATAATGAACAAGGAATATTGTTTGGCTCACATTCAGTTGAAACTATGCATCTTCTTAAATTCATTTATGGGATTATTTTGTTTAAATTTATAATTTTGAATAAAAGTTTCATTTTCAAGCATGTCCTATGCAGGGATACATTCCTGAGTGAACATCATGCAAAAAAAAAACTGAGGTGTGTGTCATACTCAAGGGCATGTGGTACTCAATTAATTACAGCAATCAAATTATTTTGAATTTCAGCTCTTCCAAAATTAATAAAATAATACTGTGTATGCACACACAGTATGCAAATAATTTTAATTAGTGGATGCCATTGTAATTAGGATTGACAAGAATGAACTGAGAAATCTAGTACTGTATGAGGTTCAGGTGACAACCTAAGCAAAACTAAGAAATGAGATTTGGAGAATATGTTAAGGGGGACTCTCTCTCTCTCTCTCCCTCTCTTTCTACAAGAATAAATTCCTAAAATAATTTTGTCTGTACCCAGGAAAAACATGTACCATCCCAAAATGCTTCAATCACATGTGCTTTTGAGGTTTATATACATGTGTCTAAAGTGACCATTATACCATGATATTGACATGAAAGTGGATTAGTTACCACAGGACACAAGTTTGATGCAGAAAAAGTTGCTATCCCACTTTTGATGTGAGAAGGATGCATTCCATGATGCATCCTGAAAGGACACTTGAATGACGCATAAATTGGTGTTATTGCAAAAAAGGTGACTGAATGAATAATGTAGACTCATTGATACAATTTGTTGTGGTCCCAAAGGGTTTGCTCCCCATGTTATATTACTTACAATAACATTCTCTCCACAATGACTTTCTCTGGTTCCTTGACTTTTATTGTAGAGAAAGTAGACCTATTTCCATTTATTTCATGTAGGGGATTGCATAGATCAGACAAAAATGACTATATGACCAGGGTCCACTTGACACTATCATAAAATTTTACAGCAATTTTTTTCCAGTCACTCAAATGTTGTATAGAGAGAGAGTCCATCTGCATTTGCTCCTGTATTTCATGTAGAGGTTAAATTTACATAAGTTTGATCAAAGGAAAATATCCCTTGGTTTAATAACCTATGCCATAAAATTCTTTTTACAGCAAAATGCATCTGTTTTCTTGAATTTTGTAGCTCAGAGAGTCCACTTGTACAGTACTTATTTCTGTATTTCATGTAGAGCTTGAATTCAAATATTTTTGCCAGAAAGAAACTTTCCATGGATTTATTGGCCTGTACAATGAAATTATTTCTAGAGCAAATTTTTTGTGGTCCCATGGATTTTTTTTTTGAACAGGGAGTCCACCTGTATTCTATTCATTTCTGTACTTCATGTAGAAATTGAATTTAATTTAGAGTTTAATAAAAAACAAAATCATCCAAGGGTTCATTCATAAAATAAGGACCTATATTTGAAGAAAAAACTGCAGATAGTTTAGGACTACACTATAGAATGACATCAAAATGTCTCCCTGCATCCAAGGGGGGGGGGGGGGGGGGGGGGGGGGGCGANGAAGTTCAAGACTACACTAGAATGACATCAAAATGTCTCCCTGTATCCAAGGGGGGGGGGGGAGGGTAGCACAGGTACAGTAGAAAGAATCAATTTATTGATCCAACACAACTCATAGCTATTCTACACCTATTCGAGCACAGGAAGGGAGCTTCCACACTGAACTAGTCTACGTTGCACTGCCTAAGGGAGTGACATACATTACTCAGTTACACAGTTCTTCGTTAAACAAAAATAGAGACACAGTGCTTTTCTATAATTCAAGACGTTTATTCTCCCAGAGATCAAAAAGAAACGTTTTAAGAATACATTTTTTGATAAAAATGAAAACTTCAGGAAAATACAGCAAGTTATTTAAAATTCGAACACGCGTCGGGGTATTTTTCATGCTGGTTACTCAATCGAAGGGGAAAACCAATCTGAGCACAAGAAGACACGAGAAAAACCAGAATTGCGTCAAAGGTCCTCAAAAACGACGCATAGAAACGAAACATTTCCAAGCGAGACTCGTTTTTGGAGAAATACTCTGGCAAATTTATACACTTATTCGAACTTTTTTGACGATACTTTAATTACTTTTAAACACATACTCATGTCAAGCATAATTAGCCGTATTCACGATTTTTTTCCCGAAGAGAATTGAAAATGCGTGATTTGACAAGTAGCCCAAGTAGAAAATCGCAGAAATCTTTCGATCGGAAGACACACCTCAGATTCACAGACCATAATCTTCAAAATGTGGTAAGTCTACATATTTACAGCGTTAAACCGAATACCTCTCGTCTATAGTTGCAGAACAGCAAATATTGCGGACATCAAGAAAAAATATTTGCTGATATGAGGATGTTAAATTCGAGAGCATCATACTTCAATTAATACGTGTTGGAGCTGGGAAACATAGATTATTTTTCAAGCTGCGGAATTATTTTGAATCATTCAATTTATGACACTGGAAAATACGACTTCAAATCGAAGCTGATTGAATGCAACGCAAAAAATGTTCTTCCTTCGTATCAGAATGTCATTTGTTCCAGTTATCTACTCACGACATTACTTTCTTCCGATCGAGAGCCAAGCATAAATGTGATCAACACAAATTTCAGTTTTCTGAAAATATTTCAACAATTGTTTTAAAAAATATCAACGAAGAGAGTTCGATGACGGAAGAACTTATTTACTTTTCATTATCAAATTTCCTTCAACAGTTAAGTACATTAAAATGATTCATTCTGACTAGAGTTTCCTGCTATCACCGATTTTCATAGTCTTTTTCACGTTATTGAATGGATTGAATTTTTTTCTACACCGGAAGACGCCCATCTTATGAGTTCAAGAAGAAACGCTTCGAAAAAGTATTCGAACAAAAAAATGAGTAAAGGTGGAATTAATTTCGGGGATTCAAGCAAAATGGCAGGATCATAGATCACGAATTTCAAAGGAGTTTGCGTCCACTTTTTTTTTTTAAATACTGTAATGATCACGAGACCCGAGTATACAATATTTAAATGAAGAACATTCACTGTATAGTCGGAAGTTACTCGATCGTCATCGAACTCTCTTCGTTGGTATTTCTAATAACAATTGTTGAAATATTTTCAGAAAACTGAAATGTGTGTTGATCACATTTATGACTTCACTTTCCCGAGAGCAACAATCCGTTCGACAATTGAAAAAGGATCCAAAGGTTTTGAATTACTGTATCAAAATTATAGGCCTTAATTTCCGTGTCTCAACTGATGAGAACAGAAAACGAAAGATTTATTCGAATGACCGACTATTCCGTTTCCTTCCTAAATCATTAATCCAGCCCGATTTATCGTATTGGCCGAAATCAATTCGCTTCATTCACTTGGAACGGAACCAGATCACGCAATGGGATCCACGATTGAACGCACTGCACGGAATCACGCACTTGAACCTCGAAGACAACGAACTCAAATCCACGGCAGAAATTTCAAACCTACGTTCACTGCAAAAAGTGTAAGAATCTATACATATACTCACTGTAAAACGTTGCCGGGAGCTTGACTCACATCCCAGGGTTCCTCCTCCAGATTCTTGGGAAGAAATAGGATTCCAATCCTCGAGGGCTTCGAGGGATGTAAGTCACTGCGTGTGTTGGAGATTCCCTTCCAACGGCTTCCTGACGGAGACCAACTGCTGTTCAACCCTCTCACCATCTCCGCATTGCAGGTGGGAAAAGTGAACGTAATTCAACACCCACTATTGGGTTACAGCAAGAGAGAGAGAAACTTGTTTATCCCGAGATGTGAGACTCTGATATGATGAGAGATTAGTGACTGAAATAAACAGGAATGCCAGCTTTTTCTTTTCAACGTTTTAATTTCTCTCCCTCCCCGGTGGGCAGAAGAAATGAATGCAACACTGTACAATGAGCAATCTGGTTCCAGTGAGGCAAGTCTGAAATCACCATCTTTGCGGGTGGGAAAAGTGAACACAATATGACGCATACAGGGTGGACCAAAAATAAGTAAACCAATTTTGAAAGAGAATAGCTCCGTAGGAAATTGAACACCATGAAACAAAAACAAAATTGCCAAATGAAAGCTTGTTCAATTTCCTTTCCAATGGTTTTACTAATGGTCCTAAGCTTGCAAAGCTTCCAATTGCATGTTTTTTGTGACCATGCCTTAGCAATTGGGTTTATAAAATTACACTTCATTTGAAAGGAAATTGAATAAGCTTTCATTTGGTGTTTTGTTGCAGTAGCTCAATGTGCTACTGAGCAATTTTTTTCATTTGTTCTTTTCTTGGCCCTCTCTGTACTTGGGTTCCAGCAAAAGAGTGAAACTTGTTTATCTGTGTGTTGAGGCCTGATCTGATGAGATATTAGTGTCTGATATAAACAAGAATATCAGCTTTATTTTCAAGCAATTTTGATTCTCTAATTCTCAAAAGAAGAGATGAACACAACATACAGTATTGAGCAATCTGGTTCCAAGTGAAGCAAGTTTAAGATGTGTAGCTTTCACATCTCATCACATGATGTCATAAGAGCTTATTGAACAAAATCCTTTTCCATCATTCAAACTTCTTCCCCTTGACTGAAAAAAACAGGATAATCAACTCAAAGCTTGATGAAATTCAAAAATCTTGATTCCTGAACATTTCTAGAAGAAGAACAATTTTTGATAGAGTTAATTTTTTTCAAACAAATAATTTCATGGGTTCGCACAATATGCTGAGCATATATAAACGCAGAATTTTCCAATTTAAAACAAAATATTAAGTTTATTATGCTCAGTTAGCCAATGATACAATTTTGACCATGACTGAATATACAGGATAGTTTGAAAGTGTTGGACATCAGTGGGAACCGGATCAATTCTCTGGAAGATATTGGTGGTTTATCCAACCTCCAAGTGCTGGTTGCAAACCACAATAACCTCGGGAATCCGAACAATATGCGAACCACAATTCAAAAACTTGGATTCCTGGTCTCAGCTTCATTCAAGGGCAACCCGGCGACACGCCAGAGAAAATACCTCCACAGCATGATCCTGTCAAACAACTCTCTGGGTTAGTCAGCATTCTGAAGTCACTCAGTAGTTCATATAATTTCTGTTCCTTGTAGTTCAGGAAGTTGAAAATTTTCAACATCAGCACCCCTTAGTAACAAATGAATTCTTTTCATCAAGAGGGAAAATTGTTGGAATATGTAGAAATCATTTTGAAGCTTGAAAATTTAGTCAAATAAAAAAGAAAAGATTTAGAATAGATGGAAACATTTCTGGAATTTTCTAGTTACAAATATTTCATCTTCATTTTCAAGATGATCACTTTTCTTGAAAGCCTTCCAATAAATTCACTTCCACTTTGGCATATACCGTATTTTCAACTTCCAAAAAGGCTGCATTTTTTCTTTACTTCGTACAGTGATTACGGTACCTTCTCGGGAATCTTAGTATTTTTTAAAATCTTAAAATGAGCACACGTATTGTACTTGTTATAAGTGATTCTTTGAAAATTTCAGGTTCACTGGATGGAAAGGAGATCACACTAGAAAAACGGCACGCGATTCAAGCAGTGCATGCTAATTTGCATTCTGGGAAAGCAAATGGCCTTCACCATTCCATGTCCTCCCTTGACATTACAGGTTTGTATTTCGCGTGAAATCTTTGATGAGCATTCAAATCCTGCAGAGGAAATCTTCGGAAATTTTAAAATTAGAGTTAGGGGAACAAAATCTCAAAAATTGTAAGAACTTGAAAAGTTGAAATCATTTGATTCCTTACACACATTTTTTTAGAACATTCAAAGCGCTCTTTTTAAAATTTACTCGAAAAATACATGCTAAAAGCCAACAGTATATCTTTAAAAAAGTATAAATCAGACCGCGTCCATTAAATGTCGAAATTTTAAGACTGAATTCTAAGTTTCCAACTTTTATTTCTGATTTCTAAAATAGTATTTAATTCAAAATTTCACAGCAGAATTTATTATTTCAACATTGAATCAAAATCGATATATTGTACCTTATTTTGAACCTTTAATTTTGAAGTGAAACACGTGATTCTGAATTCAAACTTCTAATATTAAATTATAAATTAAAATTCGAACAATAAATTATGAATTAAAATTCGTACACTAAAATATATGAACAAAAAATTCGGACGAAAAATTATGAATTGAAATTCTGACAAAAAATTATGAATTGAAATTCTGAAAAAAATTATGAATTGAAATTCCGACAAAAAATTATGAATTGAAATTCTGACACTAAATATGAAATTCTAACACCAATTTAGGATTTTTGACACTCTATTTAAATTCGCAACACTACATTTAAAACACCAACTCTGAATGATGAATTCTGACACAAAATCCCGAATACTAACACCACATAATCAATTGCAACAAATGAAAATTTTAAAAATCCCTATCCTAAATTTTGAGAAAATCAATCTTTTGTCACAGACTTGCGCAAGGAACCCCGAAGCAGTGTGGGGATGTTCCAAAACGCCGTTCCTGAACCTAGACTTCAACATTTGACAATTCCGGATTGCATACCTCGAGCCCTATGGAAAGTGCAAAATTTCGCTGGCTTCTTCCGCCAAGCGAATCCAAGAAAACGAAGAGTTCCAAAAGAATCTTCCATAACTGAATCAAAAGCACCTGAAGCGAAACCTTCGCCTGAAGCTGGAAACGCCGACTCCCTTCCAAGAGTCATAGTGGCAACAATAAGTACTACAAAAAGTCTGGCTTTCAAGGAGTGATTCATTTTTTTTTTTACTTTAAAAAGACTTTTTAGGTTAAAATTGAATCAAGTTAAATTTCTTGCTTCCATTTATGACCGCCTGTAAAATCCACCAAAAGAAATCGCTGATATTTGGAATAATTTTTCAATTGAGCAAGAAACTAATTATTCATAATAATTGTTAAAATTATTTATAATACTTCAAGTATCATAATCACACTACAAACTCTATAAGTCAAAAACCTTTTCATGTCTTAATTCTTCTTGAGTCCCAGTGTGAATTCCCTCAAGAAATCAGACATCCTCAATTCAAAAATTCCATTTAGGCATCCTCAACTCAAAAATGTTTTCCCTCAAAGCTCCAGAAGTCAAATTTCTAGAAGCTTTTGATCTGGGGACCCAGGCAAGAGAAAATAAGTTAACATGTAACAATGCTTTTCAAAAGAAAAAGAGTGACTAATTGGGCAAATAAACCTTTGCCTCCAATATCAGCATTACATCAACTTATTCAAGAATAAATTTAAAGCTCGAAGTCCAGTATACAAAATTTTACCTTATGTTCCAAAACGCCGTTCCTGAACCTAGACTTCATCATTTGACAATTCCGGATTGCATACCTCGAGCCCTATGGAAAGTGCAAAATTTTGCTGGCTTCTTCCGCCAAGCGAATCCAAAAAAACGAAGATTCTTCATTTTTTTCCAGCTAAAATTTTAAAATTGTATCTACTTAAAAACTTATCAAGTTGAAATGTTTGTTAGTCCCTCATCTGCGTTTGACTTGAAGAGGTTCAAATTTATTTATGCTACTCTCAAAAAAGTTTGAACTTCGAAGCGACGAATTTTGTCGGAAACAAAACTCGCAACCTTCGAGGACGAATTAGCTTCTTTCAAATTTACGAATTTCTCCATTTGCGACTATCAACTCCACAAGAGGAAAGCGTTGAATATGCGACAGAATTGTTCAAATTTTCGGGGATTCATTATTTCCAGCGTATGATCAATAGATAAAACCGAAATAAATCTTCACTTTGAATGTAGATCACGTTTTCAGGGTGTCACAGTTGGGTTGGTTCATGCATAGCGTCAATTTCCTCGTCGTCCAGGTTGAAGTAGAAATTCGCGTCTTCTCCGTCCTTCTTCCAAGAGAATCTGGTGCCCATTATTTTCGACTCCACTCCAACTCGTCCAAATGCCATCAGGGGATGCAAAGCCGACAAAAGAGACGCGAACAATTTTGGGAACATCACTTCTTGCTGAGCCAGCATTTGCTTGATCCGGTATCGCTCCTTAAATCATGATTCAAAAATACATACAATTTCATAAATGCTATATACGGTACTCAAGAAAGAAAAAAACCTTGTACAAAATATTCCACAAAAAGAACATTTGTTGCAAATCCAAATCATTCTCAAATCCTGCGATGGCTACTTAAAAAAAAAACATATATTTGGCCATGTTTTTATTTCCAGAAAAACTTACTTTCGGAGCATCAAAGCACCCAGGACAGTTTTCCGCAATAATCGGCAATCCTTGATATTCGGCGAACTGTCGCAAATCTTTCTCTCGAACGTACACAAATGGACGCACGACTCGCAAGTCATTCTCTCTGTAAATAAATTCTTGCAAATAATAAAGCTCAAGGAAAGACATTGGAATCTTGTTACAACAAAGCTAAAGAGACCAGGAAAAAGTGCTACGTTGAAAATCCTATATAAATAAATTCAAATCAGATCATGGTTATTTTGGTTAGTAATCTGAAAAAAAAAATTATTTGTTACCAAGAATGTATCACAATAATTTTAATTGCAACAATACTCAACTGTAGAATAAAATAACTCTTTAAGTTCAAGTCAAACTTCAAGAGACAAGAAAACAATTTCGAGTCAGGGGAAAAGGAATTTGTGTTGAAGGAAAAAAAGTTAAATTACAGGACGTCCTAATTGGTGATATTCTGGGCTTCAAATTGCTTCTTAAATGAGTTGACAGGAAGCTGAACTTTGAGGAAAGGGTTCCTTTGGCCAATTTGCTCTTTCACTATATTTCTAAACACATGAAGTTACATTTTTAATGCTTTTCTCTTTCCTGCGTTGATAAAATAATTCCCAAAAGGCCTCCATAAATTTTGATTAATGCAGGATTTAGGAGAAAAGCCTTTGAGCAAGAGAAGTTTTTACTGCATTTTTTCTAGAAGAATTTAAACATAATTGACACAGGGAGGTTATTCAACTTGGCCAGATTTGAGTTATTGAAGTTAAACGGCATTACTGATGATTATTTACAGTTACTTAGAAAAATAGTTTCCCTTCTAGAAAAAGGAAAATGAGTGGCTAATGGAAGACAGCTGATCTTGCCTATTGATTTGAGAGAGTGCACAAAGTGTGCTCTCTTATGAGTGAGGAAAAACAGGGGTTTACCCTTTCTAGGATAACAATTTACACTCACTTGACAGCGTAGTGCGCCTTCATGGTCCTCAAGCGTCCGTTATGAAAGATGGACATGAAAAAGCTTTCAGTCAAATCATCCAAGTGTTGGCCCAGAGCCAAAACGTTCCAACCTTCCCGCCTTGCAGCGGCATAAAGTCTTCCGCGCTTCATCCGACTGCAAAAACTGCAGATCGACTGCAAATCTGGGATCTGCGAAGCCTTCTCTATGATCCCTGGATATACAGTTTTATGTACATTAAATACAGTTCCATAGGCCAACAAACGCTCAACACATACAATATTTGGCACAACAAAAAAAACTGGCAATAGTACAGTCAAACCTTGTAAAGTCTAATTTCAAGGGACCAGAAGAAAAATCGATTCAGTGTGTGGTTTTGAGTACGGAAAACAAGCATTTTTGTTGTGAGAAAGATAGAATAATTTCATAAAAATTGTAAATGGTAATATTCTGGGCTTAAAATAGGTTTTTGGTTCATTTGCCCTATTAGTCTTTCACTTCATTTCAAAACACATCAATTGCTTTTCTATTTCCTGTGTCAAGAAAATAACAGCCAAAAGGCCTTCAAACATTTTGAGTTACGGAGGTTCTAGAGTAAAAATCATTCAAGTTAGAAATTTTTTTAATGCATGGTTTCCAAGGGAATTCAGACAGGGAGTTGAAAAAAGATGGAAGTGGTGAGGTTCGAGTTATCGAGATTCAACTGTACTGAATTAAATTTTTCTCCATGGAATCCTGACAGGAACCAAATGAGCATTTAAATTAAGGAGATTGTCAACTTCAGTAAGTTTTAGCAGACAAGATCCCCCCCCCTACTTTTTTTGGTACTTTCCTGTTATCTCAGTACCTACTTTCCTGTTATCTCTGTACCTTCCCTCTGACAAATTTAACCTGACCTGACCTAACCTAACTTCACCTAACTGCCTCCAAAAATCAGTTTCAGCTGAGTGCGGAAAAATAAAATTCACAGTTTCTGGTAGGTCGTCGTGATTATGAACTCGTCCTCAAGATTTGTCTGGATGGTAGTGCGGTCTAGGAATGAGGTACTGAGATAACAGGAAAGTACCTTTTTTTTCTTTAATATCACGTTGATTCCCAAACCTTGCTCTTCGTAGAAATAAGAAACTCCCAGCGTTTCCAAGTAAGGGATCAATGGACTCGGGTCATAGAAACTGCTCTGTGGATCCACAGTGATTGCTCCGAGCAGAAATTTCACTCCACTGGCACTCGCAGCATACTGATACTGATGCAATGTGTGAAGCAGCGACAGGGAATCTTTGCCTCCAGACAAACAAACCAACACTTTGTCTCCATCCCTCAGCATCTTGAATTCGTTGATAGCCTGATATAATAAAAAAATACACTTTCAAATCCCAAGGTTGATGCAATAAGCGATCTTCAAAATTTTCCAACAGATCACAGTAAATTCAAGCATGCGCAAAAAAGAAAAAAAAACGTAACATACAAGATCCACAATTTTGAAGAGAAAGAAAAACCCACAATGAATATCAGAAAATTGAGTCCCAAAAATGCAGGTCCAACTGTTGACAGTGATTTTCTTTTCGTAACATAATCATATATGACTCCTACCGAAGTTACACAAATTTCGAAGAAGAAAATCTTGATGGATTTTTTCGTTTTCCCTTCAACATGCAATGCGAATAATCGACATAAATCACATTCACGAGTAATGCACTTCCAAAAGCAAAAAAACAGTGATTTTCTCTCATCCTAAAAAATAATTCTCGTACTCCAACTCCAGACGATGAGCAAAACTTCATGAAGCGATCAAATCCTATACAGTACTGAATTCAAAAAAATTCCATGTTAGGAAATCGTAGAAAAAAGAAAGAATCTCACCTCAACAGTAGGTTTGTAAATACTTTTTGGCGGGGTGTGCCAACCCCTCGAAATCACAGACTTTGAAACCAAAGCTATTCTTTTACTATCACGTCGCTCGAATTTCAGCGAAGACGATTCTTCCTGATTATTTTCCCCATCATCCGGGTTCAACTCAAGAACAGAAGAACTAGTCACTTGAACTCCGTCATTGAATTCTTCTCTCGTGACGTCCATCAGAGACATCGTCGAAATCAAGTTTGAAATCGGCTGACGATCAACGATTTTTTCCAAAGATTTCCGTCGATTATCCGTCACCAAAGAGTTTCTCGCCGTCGGACTGTTGTCAAAATTGTTCGACACTCGTCCCAGGTCCTCAATGTTTACCAGACTCTTTGATTTCGGATCCAATTCAGCTTTCGCAGTTTTCATAGCTTTCTGGACGATATTCGCAGTCGTGACTGAAGGTATTTCCGGCACAAAGTCCACCCAATTCCTCGGTGTGTACGATTCGTAGGATTTCGGAACAAAAGGAACGTCGCTGGCGATTTCGCATCGAGAGCCTCGTTGCAAAATCTCCAGAGCTTCCGAAGGCAACATGAACCATCGCAATCGATCCACGTCTCGAAACATCACGGCTTGATCGGGTAAACTGACTTTCGAACAATCCGCAGAGGCATTGGCAAAAATCTTGCGAGCTTCTTCTAGACACGCCTCAAAGGATTGTGGCGGGGAATGAAGCCCTTCTTCTGCGTTTCGGTTAGATACTAGTTTCCCCTTTTCCAGGGAGAGGCTGCCCATCCAAAGTCGGTCTCGGAAAATCTGGAAAATAAATAAGAATTCAGAACTGATTTCCACAAATCATGAAATTGCAGTATCTAAAAGGCTGTCATCAAATACTTTCTGTAATTCCTTCTTGCTAGCAGACAATGCACAAGGCAGTTGACAGTTTCCTAATTTTCACATACCTGATGATGTGCAGCATAGTGCCAAGTCATGCATTGCTGAGTTATGCAACTTGCTCTGAAACAAGGTCAGATCTGGGTCTGACCAGGCTTGCCTAATCTTGGACCTCAAAGTCTATAAAGGCATCTGCCTCTCCCTACATTCATGCTCATTGGTTTTCTGATACTTACTGTTGAAGTTACATTGTTGCACATATCTTGTCAAATACAAGAAATAAATTCTTTCATAAGAATCTTGAGGAGTCTTCATTGATCAACCTGGCAATAAGAATGAGAAATCTCCTCAACCTTAAAAGTTATCAGACCTAAATTGAAAATATGATACATTGGTAAAGTATGGAAGTATAAGACGCCACCATTTATCCAGAGAAATTCTGGCGGTTTCTTGAATACAGTATTTCATTTTGAATCATTTGATCAAAAATACTTGATTTTCCTTCAAAAGTAATAGAAATACAAGTTTTCCAGAAACTTCAGTAATTTTACAAAAAGTATTGCTGTGATTCATGCATTACTGCTACAGAAAATTAATTTTTCTGCATCAATTTAATCAAATTTTTAAATTAGGTCCATATATTGTTCAAAGTTTTTGAAAAATGAAGATTGTCTTTTTGTTTTATACTTACCAATACAAGATCCTGGACAGAAAATATAATTCTACCCCAATGTTGGCTTTGTAACAAAGACAAAACTAATACAAAACAGCACTTTTGTTTCATCACTAATGCTGGCGGATGGCGGTTGGCGTCTTATTGAGGTTTTCTATGGCATCTAGTATTGAGGAGATTTGTTTCATTCAAAATGTTGGCGTTTGCCGAGGGTGGCGCTTTATTGGGGAGCGTCTTAACGGGGTTCAATTGTATAAAGACTAAAAAAAGACATCTGGAGAACTTTATATTTATTGCATATCAATTGAAGTCTGATAATAAGGCAATTCCCAACCAATGAACCAACAGACCCGTGAATAATTCCAGAGCTATGAGCATGGGCAGTAATTATGAAATCCGTGTCACAAATGATGTGAGATTAGACTGGATTAACGGGGGAAAAAATCCTGACATAACAGTATCCAAATGACAACAAAGGTTCAAAAGATTCGATCTCACCAGTTTTCAGAAATGAAAACTTTTCGATCGACCGTGAAAAATGATTACGATGAAACTTCAGCCTCTCAATCAAATTCACGAAGAATTCATCTGGATTCACAATTTTCGAATTAAACTTTCAGGTGCTCAGTTAAGATAATGTCAGGGATTTTTTAAAATTGTTTCGCATAATCCCATCTTTCTTGGACACACATAAATTTCATAATTGCCTACTCAAAAGTTTAAAGTCATTCAAGATTTTTTATGCGTCAAATTGACGTAATTTTTTGAGGAAGTACAGTTGAACCTCTCTGAGTCAAATTCGAAAGGACTGTGATAAAATTCTACTCGGGGAGTTTTTAGTTAAAGGAATTAGACTTAATTTTTGCTAATTATTCAAGGAAGATGATTTTCTGGTCGAATTACAAAAACCCAAAATTTTCATCTTCAGGAAGTTGCCTATTAATCCTTAGAAAAAATGAAGAAAATGAGTTGCATTTGTCTTCTTGGTTCCCCGGAAAAAGCGTTATACAATTTTGCTCAAAATTAATTACACAATAAGGCGAAAAAAATAAGAATAAAGAAGATCTGACCCGAAACGATTGGGGTTAGCGAGATCAAAAATAAATCGTCTCAAAAAATCGGCCAGGGA